GTTGCTTTTACTTCTTTTCGTGCTGTTGGTGGTATTGATCCTAAGTTTGCGTCTGCAAATTTAATAATAAATAATTTGTTCCTAATTTAAACCATTTTGATAAAGTTAATGAAACTTCGATTAGTATTAAAACTAGCGCTCATGGCTCAGCTAATATTGATATAAAAATGATTCTTTCGGCTTTAGTCGATCATATCACTTTCCTTGTTAACAAGTGTCTTATCTCTGGGGTTCTTTCGGACTCTTGGAATCAAGAGTGTTCATGTGGCATTAACGATTTTAGACCAATCAGTTTGTTGGCAACCATCTCAAAGGCTGTTGAAAAAATAACAGCCCTTTACGATAACAGACACTCAATCTGGTTTTCGACCTCTTCACAGCACTACTTCTTCCTTGCTTCATGTTACTGATGATTTGTCTTGTTTCATGCTCTTGGATACCTTGGATCATTTCCTTGTCTTAGCTAAAGTGAAACTCTTCAAAGAAGTCAAATTTATCTCTATAATAATAGGATAATAAGGAGAAACTCCAACGACTTCAGAATGCTTGTATTCGGTTTAACTATAATCTCAGAAAGTATGACCATATTTCCCAGTGCCTCTCTGATTGGCGTTGCCTCAAGCTGGAGGACCGATATAAAGTTCAGTTAGCCACCTTTGTTTTTAAACTCCAATAAGACGTCATCGTACTTGTTTGATAAACTTTGCAGAGGAAATGATATTCATAATCCAGACACCCGTCATTATATAGATATAGAAAATAGAAGTTTGAATGTTGTTTTAAAATAAATTTTATGTGATTTTAGGTTACAAAATGCCACGGACTTGCAAAAATTCTTCAGATTGTTTTTGCTACATTTGTGGGGAACACATACTAAAAACACAGCGACATGTCATGACCGATCTGGTTAAAACAGCTTATAAGCTATATTTTGGATTTTCTATCGATGGGCGAGATAAAAGTTGGTTGCCAAAAAGGATGCTGCAATAGCTGCTCAAGAACATTGAGAGGTTGGCTTGAAGAAAGTCACAAATGCATGCCGTTTTCAATGCCAATGATTTGGAGTGAGCCTCAAAATCATGAGAATGATTGTTATTTCTGCATGACATCTACACGAGGATTCTTGAAAAAAAAATAGAGATAAAATTGTTTATCCCAACGTCCTATCTGCAAAGAGACCAATTCCTCGTGATAAAGACACTCCACCTCCAGTTCCACCAGTTAATGAAGAGACTGAAAATAAAAATATTTCAGGTCTATAATGACAATCGAGTTTTCTTTCTGGTAGTACATCTTCATCTTCATACACTTTATCTGGATCTTCATGTCCATCTACAGAACCTCATTTACTTGAACAAGGCGACTTAAATGATCTTGTTAGAGACTTGGGACTTTCAAAATCTCAGGCAGAGGTACTCGGATCAAGGTTAAAACAGTTGAATCTATTGGCTAAAAGGACCAGAGTTTCATATTTTCGTACGAGGCAAGAACGTTTTACATGTTACTTCTCCAAAGAAGATGATTTGGTATATTGTAATGATGCTGCAGGGCTTCTTCAAGAACTAAGTTTTCCAGAAGATTCTAGTGAATGGAGACTTTTTATTGATGCTTCAAAAAGAAGCTTGAAAGCCGTTCTACTTCATAATGCACATGCTACAAGCATGAAAGAAAATCAATTATGCAAACCTTGAGGTATTACTTGAGAAAATTAAATATTCTCAATACCTATGGAATATTTGTGCTGATTTAAAAGTTGTCGCCATACTGACTGGACTACAAGGAGGATACACAAAATTTTGCTGTTTTCTTTGTGAGTGGGATGGCCGCGCAAGAAACAAACATTACAAAGTAAAAACCTGGCCATCCAGAAAAAGTTTGACTCCTGGACTTAAATGGTTCTCATAAACCGTTAGTGCCATGCGAGAAAATTTTTCTGCCACCTCTTCACATAAAGTTGGGACTCATAAAAAACTTTATGAAAGCTATGAATAAAGATGGTGCAGGTTTTCAATACTTAAAAACAAAATTTTCTCGAATCAGTGACGCGAAATTGAAGGAAGGAATTTTTGATCCATATTTTAGACTCGCATTCAGATTTCTTTCCTGAAAATCTTGGAGCTGTATCAGATGAGCATGGTGAAAAGTTTCATCAGGACATAATGCAAATTGAAAAACGCTATAATGGAAAATGGTCAGCAGCAATGCTTGCTGATTTCTGTCGGTCAATTCACCGAGAAACTCCAATGGAATCTATGAAGAGGAAGAAAACTACTAAATAATTTGAATTCTATCACTCCATAATGAAATAACTGACGATATTTATTAGTTTTGTTAATATAATTTTGGATTTTTTACTGTAAAACTCAAGCCGCCACATTTTATTATTTCCTAAAAAAATTTGTACTTTAATAATATTGTTTTTTGATGAAATAAATATTAAATTAAAAACCTACGTGTGGTACTTATTTGTATATCAGATTCCGTGTTTAGGGCATAAAATCAGACGAATTCATGCATGAAAACAAGAAGGAGATAATTTTTTTTTTGCAGACCAGTGTTATTTAATGAAACACCTTATGCTTTAACGTCCCTCCCCACAATAAAGTCCTTCAAAAACGCGTTGAAATTAGCGAATGTGTCCACTCTTGTATTATAACTTATATTGTAATATTTTGATTTTCAATAAAGACAGTTTATTATTATTATTATTAAGTTGCGAACATTCTAATAAGATTTTGAAAATTAAGAAAATCAATGTTTGGAGCTATAATTTCAACAGATTTTGCTTTCTCTACTTGCAGTTTGTTTTGTAATTCCGTCAGCGGTAAATTACGTTCTACTGAGTCACTGTCACAATTGTCATTCGTTAACGGTGGTCATGGTTTGTGCTCTTAGCGACAGATTTTTCTCCTATTCAAATCCCTTGTCACTTAGGTGATGCTTGGTTTACACTGAGGTGATCAATGTTCACTTCCGCTTCCTGGCCCAAACTACCTTCGCCACTTATATTTTCATCATCACCGGGAAGGGTATTATAAACTCCACTATCAACTATTTTACTATTTAAATAAATGTTTAAATTTAAATAAAAGTTTCTTTAGAATAGACATTTGTCAATTCTATCCTAAAAAAAACTACCATCCCAAACAGGTAATGATTTGAAACTGCAAGAGTCCTTAAAAAATCCAAACCTCAGCAGATAAAGGAAATGCTACGGTGGTCGTGATCAGAAATGAAGTAACATTGGTTCTTCAACATATTCTCTAGCAAAATATCTGGATTCCTTATTAAAGCCCTTAACAAGGAAAACTGACAGTTTCGTGCTTAATTCCTTACACTTCATTGAACAATTAAAAAGCATTACATTAGAAACACAAAATATTTTGGTTGGTTTCGACGTAGAATTATTCTCTACTAAAGTTCCTATTCCAGAATTCCAGATGAAAATCCGAGAATCTGGAACCAAACCTTCTCACCTTAATTGAAAAATGCTTGTCTGGAATATATTTTTCTAATAACAGTCAAACTATTGAACAAACGTCGGGAATAGCTATGGGTTCTCCACTATCCCCATCGTCGCGAATATATTTATGGAAACCTTTGATAAGAGAGCTCTCGAAACCTTCCATCTAAAACCAAAATTATGGCAACACTACGTCGATCATACTGTTGTTTTTTGGCCTCATGGTCAGGATTCCCTAGTAGATTTTCTTAGACATTTAAACTCTATACACCCTAAAATAAGTTTTACCATTAAGTTGGAAACTAACAATTACCTTCCGTTCTCAGATATTATTATCAATAGAAAATCAGACCTTTGTGTGGTCCAAAAGTCATCGGTTATCAACTCTCTTGTTTGGAGAGCCGTAAAACTATCTCAGCCGGAGTCACTGAACCCATAATTAAAACACCTTACCTCTGCTGTTCTCTCTAATAATTTTCACGTTATAGACATTAAGCGTTCCATAAACAAATACACTTCACCACAACCTTCCAATAGCAATGAGGCCGAAAGCTATCCTACACTTGCCACTGTGGTCCTTCCTTGCATTCAAAACATCACTGACCACATGCCAAAAGTTCTAAAGAAATAGAACGCTTCCATCCGCTAAAGACAAAATTCCATTTGAGATGTCAGGAGTTTACAGCATTCCATGCTAGGCTCAAAGAACATGAAAGAGCCTGAAAGCTAAGACAAATAAACTCATCAGCAGTTGCCGAACACAATCACCAAACCGGGCATAAAATTTTATTCGATAAAACTAAAATTCTCAGGTCTCTACCTGTCAACAATATGGGAATCAGTCAGGTTAGTCATAAATGGATTCATATTTACAATTTAACAAAACAATTACACACTCGTGGGTATCTTTAGTTGTCTCCTCAATATCTAAGTGTTTCATTTCTAAACGCGCATGACTTTTATTTATCATGTCTCATATCGCACTACTCATTAAATCTAAACAAGATCCTTTGATAAAAGGACATACGAGTACATAAAGACTTGTCGTAACGGCCGTATTACCGATTTTTTTTTGCGATTTTTTGCAATAAAAAAACGCTCGACTGAGCAAAGTAAAACGTTTAACAAAGTGCGACAGTGAAAAATAATTTTATGAAATTTTACTCGAGTTTTGGAACTTCGGACGACACAAAGAACGCTCGTTCTAAAGTTTCTTGGTTACCTACCACATTCCCACTCAAAGACGAGGGTCTGATACTATGGTGCGTCGCGTCTAACGGACGCAGCGACTCCGCCAAACTGGTTTCTGTTAAGTACGCGAAATGTTACGTCATCGGAATAGATAAATGTTTAATCGAAATCGGTAAATACCCGGTAATTGTGCTTTTTGCGTAAATAATACCTAGATGGCACTCCATGGACCGTATAGAAATGTCATTGATTCCACCAAATGACATGTAGCGTAAAGTCGCGATCGCTGCGCCGCGTTCCCAGTTGACGGCGCCTTCTCGAACTAAGTACGTGAGAAAGGTAAACATGGCGGCGTCAGTTGTTTGGTGTTTTCAGCCCGAATTGAAATTTTAAAATTAAACCGTGTTCGTGATCAAAATGGATAATAAAAAGAGTCCCATTCGAAGGGCGAAACGTGCGGCAAAAGTGTTGGAAGATAATTTCTGGGATTGCAGTGTGTGTACGTTCAGAAATACCGCGGAAGCGTTTAAATGCTTAATGTGTGACGTTCGCAAGGGGACATCGACGAGAAAACCGAGGATAAATCCTCAATTAGTTGCCCAACAGGTACCGAGCCAATTTTTACCGGCGACGAGTAACCCGAAACGGGAGAAGAAGGACAAGAAATCGTTGAAAAAACGACGGCATCCGCCCCGTTTAAAAAATGTCGACAGGAGTAGCGCTCAAACCCGGGAAGTTACCGTTAACAGTGTCACCGTTGTTATTACCGAATATAAACCAAAAATTAAAACTGCGGAGACGGTGACCAGTAGCAGTTCGTCGGATCACGGTTCGCAATCCGAATCGAGCATGGATGCTAGGTGAATGTTGTAGTCTTAAGTGTAGTGAATATTAGGGTGAATTTATCTCGACGGGACGCACTTTTTTTTTTCTCGATATGTGGGATGTCAGTGACTCGGATGGGGACAATGACTCATCGAGCCAGGCTAACGCATTGCGTTTTTTCTCCCGGCCCACTGCCATTGAAAAGTTTGGTTAGGTTCTGGCGCGTTCGTCAGAATTAAAAAAGCATTTTCGAGGTGAAAAGATTGAAAACGATAAGTAGAAAGTAATATTATGAAGCCAATTGTTGTCTTTGTGGTAATATCTCATCATAAAGTACGGCTTTAAGAATATCCGCCATCAAAATTCAACAAATTATTGCAAAATTTGAATAGATGATGTTAATTAAATATTAATCAACCTAAAAAAGTTTAAATTATACAGTGGTCACTTAAGTGCGAAATTGGTGTGTGTCAGCTAAATGGGTACAGGTATGGCGGTAAAATAAGGTTAATAATTTTATCGTAAAAAAGTATTACTATTATAAAAGCACACTTTCTGCATATTTTTTTTAATTTTACTTTATTTATATTTAATCTAGATTAAGCAAGTAAATTTTAAAACTTGCCCAATGACAAATGACAAAAAGCGAGGGGTAAATCAGGCTTGAAATCTGGTACCAGCTCTGAGACATCTGTGAAATTTTTGTTATCTGTGAAAACATTTTCAGTTTTAGTTAGTTACTATAAGATTTCACAGATTTCACACTGATTTCAGAAATTACAGATTTCTGATCGTTTTTAGGGATTTGACAGATTTTTAAAATTTTTGTATTTCGTCGTAACTAAAAAAACTTTTAAAGTAAAAAGAAAACATATGTTCAAAAGTGGGCGTTATTTAATGTTTATAAATTTTAAAAACTGGCATACAAATGCTTTTAATTTTTTTTTAAATATTTCCTTTTTCTTCGACTTTAATTAATTTTCTTCGTTAAAGAAAAACTTTTAGCTAAATAGAAAGACTGAAGCGGATTTTTTTTAAAATGAAAACTATCTACATATTTCTTGTGACCCACTCTTACGCCTATTACCTTATAACCTTAAAAATGCTAGTAAGGTTGTTTCAATCGGAATTCAATGAATGAACGGAGGATATCGCGAAATAATTTTCTAACTATCAAAATTGGTTAGGATTTTAGGATGCCACCAAACCATAGATGTATACTAATTAGTTTGTTACGTAAAGATAATTAGAAACTGCTCAAAGCTTCAACAAAACTTTAGAAATACTTTATGATTTCAAGTTTCATAGATTTCGCAGATTTTACGCATAATATAGGCATAAATTCGTAAAAAACATTTTTTTCTAATTGATTTTAATGGTAATTTTTTTTCGATAGAAATTTAATAATTATCATCGAAATTGTTAACTAAATATGTAAACTTGCAAAAAAAAAATAAAAACATAAAACGTATTTTTTAGTAAATCAAAATTAAAATCTCCCATGATAATGTTTGTTCCCGTGGAATCGCTCAGTTCATCCAAATAATTTGAAAAATAGTCCAAAAATTTAGCATTTTCCAACTGTGGAGGATGATATGGACCACTACATAGATATTTTGACCCAAATAGCACCATCTCCGCAGACAACATCCGTACATAATTCTGTACACGAGATACATTCTTTAATTTGTACTTTACATCATACCTTATCAATGCCATCGCTCCTCCAGTTCTTCTATTATTGGTAACGCACTGTTCCAGCTTGTATCCATCAATACACAACTCACTGTGATGAATATCCCCAGATACATGAGTTTCAGAAAAAAACACTGCTTAGGGTTTCCAGTCATTAATGAGAACCATTATATTGTCCTTATTGTTCAGATATCCCTGACAATTAAAGTAAACTACTCCAGAACTTAAGGCGATATTAGTGTCTAATTGCTATTTCACAAATTTATTACGTTGGACTTGTTCAATGGGCTTATATGTCATGCAGTTGTTTATTCCCATGCTGTATGGTCAACATTTAATTTCAAACTATATTTGTTATTGGCTGCTACAAAATTTGGACACTTAAATTCCTTACTAGCGCAGTCTTTTATGTCATGTGTACCACTGCATTGTGGACATAGTTTTTTATCCTTACACTCTTTAGCCAAATGACCATATTTACAGCATTTAAAGCATCTAACAATTCCATAATCATTGTAAATTGGACAACGATTCCAGCCAATATTCATTTTTTCTTGTTCCATTAAAGTTTGGTACGTATCTAAGTTTACTTTATGGAATTTATAATAACAACAAAAGGTTTACGTAATTTTTTTATATATTATTTTACTTATTATGTTAGTTAAGTACGGCGGAATTGCAAAAATTTGGAGTTTTGACCACTTTCTATTGTTTAAAATATCAATATCAATTTTCACAAACCGCAAACTTAAGCACAGATATTATAAAATTGGTGATTTTATTTGGATTTTTTGGAATATTCACTCAGTATAAGGTTACAAAAAATATTTTCTTTGCTTTTTTTCTATGTCGCTTTAATTGTTTTTTTTTACCTACACATGATTATCAATTATCGAAATTGGTAATTAAATATTTTAAACATGCCCTTTTTCCTAAAGAAAATTAAAATCGAAGAAAAGGGAAAAAATTAAAGAACTAAATTTTGAAAAAAATTTCACGATACTCTTTCTAACAAAAAATGCTAAATATATTTTTTATATATAATTTTTACTTTTCTTTTAACTCCACTGGAATAAAATTATGTAGCTATTTAATGAAAAGTTGTGTCTTCCTAAGCATAATTTAAGTTTTTTTGAAAATTTTAAACATGTTTATAGAATTATCAAAATCAGTATAAAGTTGCGAAAAATATTTTCTCTGCTCTTTTTATATTTGGCTTTAATTGTAGTTTTTTTTCACCTGCACGTGATTAACAAATATCGAAATTGGTAATTAAATTTTTTAAACACGGCCTTTTTCTTAAAGAAAACTACTTAAAATCGAAGAAAACGGAAATAATTAAAGAATAAAATTTTGAAAAAATTTCTGAATATTAAATCTTATCTGTCTTAAAAATTTATGGAATTTATCAAATTTGCATTTATTAATTTAAATCTTAAAAGTAACGAAGTAACGATACCCTTTCAAACAAAAAAGACTAAATGTTTTTTTTATTTGTAATTTTCACTTTTTTTTTAACTTTAGTAGAATGAAATTATTTAGCTATTTTTTTCTGTTTGGTTTTAATTGTATTTTTTTTTGTCTGCAGAAAATTAGTTAAAGTCAAAGGAAAAAATCATGAAACCATTTTGAAAATGATTTGCTTTTATTAATTTAATACGAACACTACACTTTCCTATTAAAAAAAAAAAAGTTGTGTTGTGTACCATTTTTACTTATTATTTTATTAACTCCGACGGAATAAAAAAAATCCCCAGACCCAACGCATTGATTTTCAAAGTCAAAATTGTCGTCAAAACTGCCTGTCAATTGACTAGTCAAATTCGATCAAAATGTTGTAAATAACATCTTCCAATTGAATAGCGTTATCTATCATTATTTAATAATTACATGTATTTTGGTAATAAATTATCATATCAAGGAATACCAGAATACGATAATCAAAATTTTTAAAATTTAAAAAATTTAAAGGTGCTTTAACTCCACTAAAAATTTTAGAAATGTGTTATAATTTAATAAAGATATAACAGATAACAAAGATTTCAGTTTCAAAGTTGAACTGCAAAAATTAATCAATGGGATTTTTTTCCCAGTGACCACTGTGTATATCGTTGGAGTTAGTTGACTCCCAATGCGATTTCAACATGGCCGTTCAAGCTCCACGAAGTTCTAATTAAGAACTGTGATTTTGAATCGCCAAAAACTATATTTCTATATTTATGTCTTTTAATTTTTTTTTTCGAAAATTTTTTGAATTTTTTTTTATGGTATTTACTGTTCCAAAATATGCTTCCTCGAATGGTGCCATTTTTATTTCCGATAAACGCGGCCCTATTCGTATGTTACACTGCCGTTAACCGATCGTTGTTCAAACCGAACTTTAATCCAATTTTAGATACGGATGATTTCAATTCAAAAACTGTGACGTATAAATCGCAAGCGAAACGCAGTTAATGCATTTCGCGTGTACCTCGCTTATAGTAAATATTGTGAAATCGAGAGGTGGGGAACCTGGTAAACGAGTATGTATCGTGAAACGGACAGGATGTATGCCCAGATGATAAAAAGCTCATTGTCAATGTTTCGCAAGAAACTACGCCGTTTTGTAATGTTATGTAACATTTTTTTTTATAAATGTGTTGTGTTGAATATAAATTATTTTGAAAAACTACCAGCGTTTTTTTTTATATTAATAATAATAATAATAATAAAAAGTCTTTATTATAACAAAAAAAAAACAAGATACAATATTAATATTTTTGAAAACAAAACAAAACTGAACCGCTAAAGAACTATTTATATAATTAATAAATTGCGCGCTATTTATTGAAATAAAAAATGGATGAACAACAAATAAAATATGAAAGATACCTGCAAAATCGGAAGAACAACAAAATTCAAACAATTGAAGATAAAGAATTTGATAACGCAATATAATCCCTTGCCCATACATACACTACATCACAGTAGTTAAAATGTGAGAAAACAAGTGACTCACGTAATTGTCTCCTTAGTTTAAAATTTAAAATATGCCTGTTACTGTATAAGATATTTAGTGGGAAACATGCCTTTTGAAACATATTTTTTAAATATTCACGAAATCTTAGATCACAATCTACGATCACCCCCAAATTTTTTGCTGAATCTTCAACGGAAAGTTTAATATTATCTAACATTATGTTAATAGTTTTTCAGTTAATATTTGCTCAAATTCGAAATAGCTCGGTCGCTATCGTACAGGGTGTTCACTTTATTAGGGGTCTGTACCTTTTCTCAGGAACTACGTAGAAAAAAAAGTTTTACGGTTTAAATCAAATTTTAAAAGTATTTATTTTTTATATATACAGGGTGTCCGATAAGTGCTGGACCGACAATTTAAAATTTTAAACGGAACACCCTATATATTTGGATATTTTTGGAATCCTTGGCAAAAAGGTAACTTTTATAAAAACTACTTATTTTTTTTTTTGGGTATAAGACATAGATATATCAAATTATAGGTATTTTGACCCGCTTTGAGAAAAAAATGTCCTTTAAATTTAAGACTCCCTGTATAATTTAAAAAACCAAGTCATTGTAGATTGTTCGAAGGAAGTCATCTAAAAATGCGTTTAAAGTTTGATCAAGTAGTCGTTACTACCAGCCGTGGAAGATCCTATTATATAAGAACATAATTTTGCATAAAAAAAATATAATCTCGAGTTCTGTCTAAACTACACAAAATTCGAAGAAGTAGTTTCTATAATGTTACCTTTATTTTTGGCAAGGATTCTAAAAATATCAAAATATATAGGGACTTATCGGACATCCTGTATATATAACAATTAAATACTTTTAAAATTTGATTTAAACCGTAAAACTTGTTTTTCTAAAACAAGTAGTTCCTGACAAAAGGTACAGGCCCCTAATAAAGTGCCCACCCTGTACATTCATTTAAACAAAGAAATTCAACTCAAAAAAAGTTGTTTCAATGTTTGCTGTAATTTTTTTAAATTTCGCATTTGAAAATTACTGTATTTCGTAATACTGTTCGAGACTGTATACGAAGGTGACTTGAAACGTTTTCGACCTCACCCTGTAGTTTTGCACCTCTTGATAGCTATTTATCGAACTTGAGTGATGCGAGTGTTCTCTGGAAAAAAATTTAGTATAGAGCTGTTATAAAATATTTATCTTTGTAAGGCCAAAGGCCTACGAAAATTGAAGTTGAGGTGAGTATGAATTTATGGGAAATTAAACGTGACCGTAAGAGCTTAGGAGGTCATGAATGTTCGGGATGTCCATAAACTGTAGCTATCGACGATAATATTGCAAAAAATACATCAAATGATATTAAACGAGCGTAGAATTAAATTAAAAACCTTTTTTGGGAGTCATCATAATCGATTACCTTCAAAAAGGCAGAACCATTTTAGTATTACAGTACGCATCATTACGTGACTAGCTGAGGACAGAAATTGTGGAAAAATGGTCAGATTTGCAAAAAAAAACGCTGTTTCACCAATACCTCGATACCACGAATTACGGTTTGAACTGCTTGATCATCTACCTTACTTACCAGATCTAGCCCCAAGCGACTCACTTGAAAACTACGCTCGGAGGACAAAGATTTTCGTCACCTTCGTGATAGTTACAAAGGGACTACGTAGAAAAATAAAAAAATAAATTGATAAAAAAATGTCTTGTAAGTAAGGCATTCTGCAAGATAGACCACCAAAAGAATGACAGTTGATTTTACTATATAGAGTGTCGAATGTATGTTGAACGCCGCCGAAATTAAAATTTTGATTTTAATCACGACAAATTAGCATGCAGGTTTTTTTTTGTCAAAATGGGCTAGAAGGTTTTTGTGTAATTAATTAAAAAAGAACGTTTTCTGTAAACTCTTCGACTCATGAACAAACAAACGTTCTTGGCCGACAAAGATGCCTTTAAAATCGTGTTACTTATTTTCGAAACACCCCGTATATCGATGAAACCCTAACCAACAAATATAAGCCACATTTGATCTGTTTGTAATAATTATATTAAGTATCTACGTATTGTCAATGCGAATTACGAACAAATATATACACGCGCATCGGGATGATGTCAAGCTGAACAAATTCTGTTAGGAGTGCCAGAACTGTACCATAATTTCGTTACGCGTATACATTGATGGCTCTAAATTATCACCGCCGCCAAATGAAATTCCTGACAAAATTCAGTTAGTCGCGTGGGGTTTTGATATTCGGTTATACGTTATGCGCTCAAAACTGTTTTGCGTTTGTCGGGGAGCACTATGGAAGAATTCTCGGTATCATAGTTCGGTTTTGCCGTTGCTTCCAATAATTTTTTGATTACGAAACAGCTAAACTACGTGGTAAAAAGCGATTCTGTGGAAAAACAAAAAAGAAACAGCCTGTCAATAACGCTCCCCCGCGGACTGTACATAAACTAATATCAGAAATTTACGTGGTCCTATCAAGTTAACACAGATTTAGGTTAAATAAAAAATTTTTTAAAAGCGATGCATTTTGACACCAAAATTTTCAAAAAAATAAGCTCACCGGGAGGAAAAAACCAGATAAGTAAATACATTTTTATAAAAACCAAATATTACTTAGGTGGTGTTTGTTAGTTGTTAAGTCGGCAAGAATAAAAATGGAACGATTAGAATCTTTTGTTGAAAGTATTTTATTATGGTAAAAAGTTTATATGCTTTTGGAATACGGGAATACAGTCCAAAACTGACGTAAATACTGTATGTATACTTACGTCATAAGCTACAAGCACTTTTTACCGGAAACTCAGAAGATTTTACAAGAGATTAAAAATTTTTTTCTTTTCAAATCTGTCGCTTTTTGGGGTAAAACTGGAATTACATAAACACGGTCTTTCACGTACCCCCAAAACAAAAAAATCTATTGCCCATCAATTGACTGGATCGTGTGTTGAGATTAGTCTATCCCCATAAACTAATAATAATATAATCTTTATTTAGCATTATGCTACATAAAAAATGAAAAATATAAATTCTAAATATAAAATATAAAATTCCAGATAAACGGAAACCAAAAGCTAAGCACGCAGAAATCACAATTTGGACAACACATGGCATCTTAAAAGTCTTTTAAATTTATTAATGCAAAAAAATATTGGACCTTTAAAAGTGTTCCCACTTTCTTGTGTCACCCGGTATACTTCAGAGCTATATGTTACGATGCTTTTAACGGTTGAATTGTAAATTATTTTTTTGTTATTTACATTTATATTTTTGTCCCAGAGTTCTGCCTTTGTCGATTTTCAGTAACAGTAACAGGACGATAATTTTCAACACTGTACTAACTCTCCTTCAGAAATCAGAATTTCATTTACACATACAGTTATCTTTAAAAAAATAAATATATAATTAATTTAATTAAATTTGCAATTTGCAAAGTACGCAGAATTATAACCCCAGAGTCCTCGACTATGCTTAACAATAAATAATTAAATAATAAAATATAAAAGCCTGATCCTTTTCCCCTTTTATTTGCGTAAGTAAAAGTTACAATCAGGATTTCATTCTCACATACAATTATCGAAAAAAAAAATATCTTATTTCTCGTGAATGTGAGCAGATTCCTCCACTATGCTTAGTCAAAGGATAAGAAAAAAACAAGCCACTTAAAATTCTTTATGTCGCCAAACCGGGGTTGGCAGGGTACTGGAAAAACCCGGAAAATGAAAGTGCGAGTTAATTATTGCACTTTGTTTTTGTGCGATTCAATATGTGCATTTTAAAAGAGTTTTCAAAAATTGTATTTTTATGATAGTGCTTTTTTTCTAATTTTGAGTAACATCTACATTTTTGTACATAATAATAAATAAATAAATAGTACAATGTCAAAGCCTGATTAAAATTAATATTAACTGTTGTTTTACGAAAGAAAATGGCGTAAAAACCTTCCTACGTTGATTTCACTATGACTGAAGTAGGAAAACCACTTAGACGCAATATGGCGCGGTTAGGATCGAAAAGCCTTGAAACAAATTGCGAAATGTCAAGATTAAAATCGTTTTCACTTAACTCGTGTAAAAACAACGCTTCTGTCGGTCGTCCCAAGTGTCGTTCGAAACACTCAAAGCTAATGTTTTTGTTATTCAAAAAGGCAAATCGAGAATCCACAGTGAAAAAAATCCTAGAAAAATGTACCTGTTAAAAATTGATTATGGAACTTTTTTATTTCCGTTGAAATTCGTCAATTTTTTTATTATTTTATTATTTTTCCATATAATCCCCCTTAATTGCAATACACTTATTACAACTTTTTATTAACAACTCAATCCCTTAAAAAAATTCTTTTGGTTTGTCTGCAAAATGAGCTAAAACAGCCTCTTTTAACTCAACTTCGTCGTTAAACCGCCGTCCACGTAACTCAAGTATCCAAACAAATAATAGTCGCTGGGGGCCATATCTGGACTATAGGGGGGATGATCTATCTGTTGGAACCTACAAACTCCAAAATGGCAGCTTGTGCAACACCAGCAGCACGGACAGGTGCATTATCGTGCAAAAGACGCACGCCTCTGGTCAGTTTTCCTCGACGTTTTACACGTATGCAGTCTCGCAATTTATGTAATAATGTTGCGTAATAATTACCATTGACAGTGGTATTA